TGGGACAACCAGGACCTGGAGGACAGAGAATCTCTACAGACTTACAGTGTAGATGAGGCAAGTGAACACATCCAGACCAGTGGGGAAATCTGAACCTGTTTGCTACTGATTTGCTGGCTGTGCATGCGTGCTGCATGCTAAGCGCGTACTGTGCGCACACATGCATTGTTCGCACCAAACATGTGCTGCATGCACATGTGCAGTATGCACCAAAATGCGGCTTGGGAAGATAAGTAGAACAGCGGGGAGGAATCAGCTGTGGCATATGTTCTTGGGAACCTTTTAAAAAACTTTTTTATTACCTATTCGCCCGAACCGATAGTAAAAAAAATGCTTTAAATAGTACAAAAAAAAGGTTCTGACAATCGCGTGGCACAGCTGTGATCTTGGTAACCTTTTTAAAAACCTTTTTAAAGCATTTTTTTATTACCAGTTCGGGCGAATAGGTAGTAAAAAAATGCTTTAAAAAAGTTAAAAAAAAAGCTCGGATGATCACAGCTGTGCCATGCGATCATGAGCCTTTTTTTTACTTTTTTAAAGCATTTTTTTACTACCTATTCGCCCGAACCAGTAGTAAAAAAATGCTTAAAAAGTTAAAAAAAATATGTTCCGACAATCAGCTGAGTGACGCGTGATCGTCGGAACTTCCCACCCCTTTTTTTTTTTTACTACCGGTTCGGCGAATCAGTAGCATTTTTTACTACCAGTTTGAGCGAACTGGCCCAAACTAGTAGCATTACACCCCTGATCCAGATAGGCAGGAGGAGAAACCAGGCAAAACGGCTTAAGAAGGGAGGGAAGTCGCAATGACAGAGCTGTAGAGGTGTCATCTCAGCCACATTGGCGCAGTGGTTAGAGTGCAGTACTGCAGGCTATTTTTGCTTTCTGCTGGCTGCCTGCAATTTGGCAGTTCAAATCTCACCAGCCTCAAGGTTGACTCTCCTTGCCATCCTTCCGAGGTGGGTAAAACGAGGACCCAAATTTTTGGGGCCAATACGCTGACTCTGTAAACCTCTTAGAGAGGGCTGGAAAGAACTGTAAAGTGGTATATATCTAAGTGCTATTGCTATCTCTGATCTTTTCTTGGCAGAGCCCTTTGGCCTACAATCCTGCTCCTCTGGTCTGCCTTGCAGCAGCTGCTCAGGAAAGGACAGTGTTGTCGCCTTAGCTCTGGGACAGTCAAGTATCTTGCCATTCTGTGCACCCCCCCGGCAAGGAAAGAAAAAAAGGGGGGGCCATAACAGGGGAGAGCCATCTCCCTCCCTCCCTCCCTTCCTCAATCTCGTACTCCCTTCCATGCCTACCTGAAACAAAAGAATGGCTGGGAAAAGCTGCCAGACATTGCTGGATGAGATCACATCAGTCAAGGAACTAGAGAAACATTTGCCCAACTAAGCCTCGGATTTCTGGGATGAACAGGAACAGACAAATTGTTACACCAAGAAACTGAGGATAAGAATTCAATGAGAGAGATGAGTTATTTATTTAAGGAACTTACAGAAAGCAAGATAAACTTTTATGAGCATGCCAAGAGACAGAAAACAAGAGTTAGATAAATGAAAGAGGAGAGAGTAACAAAGATTCCCTAATCAATGACGCATCCAGGTATTTGATCACTGGACTAGTGTCAGATATTCTGGAAAGTGAAGTTAATGGGTTCTAGAAAGTATTGCTCAATAAAGTTCAATGTTTCTTGAGGATACCTGGGGCTATAAGAAGCGGAATGGGACCTTCAGGCTCCCACCCTTGGCCGCACCTCCAAGCCTGGTAAAATGAGGACCTGATTGTTGGGTGTGATATGCTGGCTCTATAAACTGAGAAGAGCTATTTCAATACCAGATGAAATAAACCCAGACTGGTCTTCCAAAGTGCCAATAACTAGACAGATATTAAAATACGAGCAGATTCCTGATGGGAGCAGTGGTCCCTCAGATAATGATGTTCTGAGCAACTAACAACTTCAGAAGTGAAAGCCAACACCAGTTCTGTCCAATAGGCAACTGGCAACTGATGCAAAGTTAACAGTCTGGCATTTTGCACCAACTGCAATTTTGTGATACTTTTCAAGATGACTCCCACCTACGAGGTGGTGATGGTCAAGGAGTTGCAATTGAGGCATGGATAATAACTTGCTCATCCAGTCAATTCTGAGAATATTGTAGTTCATGTGCCAGCCATTAAGTGTGTGAACACCTCTTGCTGCAGCCATCTTGAAGCTGATCTGGTGAGAGCTAGCAGACTACGTGATGACTGAGGAGGCATTCCCTTAATCCTGCAGCAGCCATTGGAGTTTTGCATCCAAGAAACTATGGGCAGCCATTTTCATCTCATGGCCTAGGGATGGAGGGCATACTCCCTGAGTCCAAAGAACAGCAGCTCCTGGGTTATCCTGCTTGCCCCTTGCTCCCTCCCTCCCTTGCTTCCATGGCTCTGTGGCTTCCTTTACTAGGGGATCAGGGAGAGCAGAGGTAACACTAGGGAACCATGGCTTCTTTTTTCTGACCTCACTGAATTGTGCATAACTTCTGTTTGGCCCTGGAAGGCCCTGATACTTGGAAGAGATGAGCAAGTTTTCAATTGATAAACCTCTCTTCAGGTTTCCATATTTCTGCCTGCTTGGCACGCAAAACCCTGATTTCATATAGGAGTGGATGCTGGGTTGGAACTGCTACCAGTAATACAAGAGCGGGGGGGGGGGGGGGCATTCATTCTCCTTTTCTGCTGGATTGCTTCTAAAAAACTTTTTCTATTTGGAGAAACCCTTTTGAAAACCTGCTTTATGCCAATTTATACAATCTGTGAGGTTCCATTAGGTGAAATTACACCTTATACATCCATGCTGGCAGCCAATGGCTTTCTAGGTACCATCTTAGGTTGTGCTGCAGCCTCCAAGGTGTCCAGGTGGGACACCTGCAGGGGGCTTTTCACCACTGGTGGCTCTTCTTCAGGGCTTCCCCTTGTTGGAGGGAAGGGTCTCCAGGCACTTGCCACCGAGCTCCATGCAGCATGCACTAGTCAAGTTCCCTTTCTGCATAGGGCGGGCGATAACTGCAATAAAGCAGTACCTACCTTGCAACACACAGCACTCCTGGCAGATCCCTCATTTTTAGTTTATGGCTTAACCAGGGTGGGGAACAATTTGGCGGCCATGTTGGTACAAAAGATTGGCTGCTGAATGAACGGAAAGGGTGTTTTGGCTCTCTTTTGCAGCCAAGCTGCTGTGTGAGCATGCCCTCCTCCAGCCAGGAATAGCTCATTCAGCAGGTGCAGGGAGGCACAGCACATCCCTCCCTCTGGGCAGCCCGAGGATGTGGGGCAGGGTGCCTGCTGGCTCACTCCCACTGGTGTGATGGGCATGGAGCAGGTGGGGATCAGGAAGGCCTTCCTTGATCCCTGTCCATCAAATCACCCCAGTGGGCTATTTCTGGCTCTGGGCAGGCAGCCGGGGATTAGGGGCCACTTGCCAAGAACGTGGCCTCTTGCACAGGCCGATCCCTGCTCAGGGTGCTTGGCTCTTCGGCAGATGGTGGGCAGCTTCCATAGCCTGGAACTGGTGCAATAACAAAGGTGGGTGGGGGTTCCCAGGGAATGGCAAAACGCAGGCTGAATCCGCCTGAAATCTGGATGCCCCCCCTCCCGTCGCAGCAGGATTGGCAGCAGAGTTCCTCCAGGGGTGGCGGATTTAGGGGCACCATGCACATCTGACTGAGGATCAGGTCGGTGACCCTCCTTTACGAGCAGCAGGAATGCTTCTCTGCTGCCATCCCTGACTTTGGGGTCTTTGCAGGTTGGCAGGATGCAGAGCAGCGCCCACCTTCAGAACCACAACTCCTGCCCCCTCAGGAAAGGAAGCCCCACAACCCACCTGGGGAGCCATGGGAGCAAAGCCTGCAGCCCCCACATATTGCACCATTCTCTGGGACACACATTGCCCGCTCCCCAGTGGCCAGGGGTGCTTCCTCAGCAAGAGGGGCTGCATCTTCTTCTCCAAGGGAAGAGCCCCTGCGGACCCCACCCACTGAGAAATCTGCCCCTCGGCCCATTCTCACCGGTGCTGCTTAAGCCAGCTGGCCAGAAGCCGCTCCCCAGGCTCAGGAAGGGGCCGAGTGGCAAAGGGGGAGCTGAAGGCTGAACCTCGCAGGTGCTGGTTCCTGGCTCTGGTAGAGGCTGGCCAGTTCCAGTGATGCCTGCTTGAGAAGGAAGCCATGTCCGGGCCCTGACTCTTCCTTTGGCCGCTTGTGGGGAGCAGCTGAAGGGGGCACCCCCAGGCAGAAGAAGCTGAGGATTCATCTCTGCCTTTACCCCCCTCCCCACGCTAGAGTAGGATTGTGCCATTCACAAGGGAAAGGAAACACACCCAGGAGGGAAGCGTTCACCAAGGCTCCAGGCAAGGCAGGAATCAGCAAGACCCCTCCTCTCCCGCTTGTGGGTGATGGCAGCACTCCCCTCCTGCCCCTCTCCCCCAGCCCAGGCCTGCCGCTCTTCCCGTGCCAGATCAGGGCACCCACTGCCAGGGATAGACTGCTATCACAGGAAGACGCTGGAAGCACTGCAGAGAGTGCCGCGCCTAGACGCCTACTGGGAAGATTGGCAGGAGCCTGGCACAGCCCTGACATCCACGTGTGGGAAGGGGGCAGTCGAGCAAGGATGGGCTCCTTTGGGACCCTCTGTAAAGGTCTTCCTAGCCAGCAAGAGGGCCAGTCTTCTGGGAACTTGGAAAGGGTGGAGGCTGCTGCGGAGGTGTGGGTCTGCCCCTAGGAGCCGACATTGGGAGCTGGCAAGCAGGTGTGGGACTCTTCTCTAGGGGAGAGGGAAGAATCCCACACCAAGCAGCATGGCTAGGAGTGGCCTACTCTCGAAAGCTGGAAAGGCCACTGGGGCCATGCAATGTGGATTCCTTCCACACGAGCTGGGGCTGCTTTCCCGGAGCACCGTTTCTCACAGCTCCAATGGTGGGAGCTGCTGCTGGCCACAAAGGAGGGTGTAGAGAGAGTCAGAAGAGCAGAGAAACCAGTTTATTGCAGACCAGCCCTTTCCAGACAGCCCGAGGGGCTTGGAAGCAGACCCCTCTCCCTCCCACTTCCCAACCCTGGGTTTCCTGCCTTATGGATGTATCAAAAGTACAAAGGTGAGAAGCCTCAGCTTGTGAATGGTCCCCAGATGTGGTGAAGCACACAACGCTTGGGAGCTTGTGCAGGAAAGGGGCTCCTGCCACAGAGGAAGGAGGCTCAGGATGTGGGGGGAGCCAGGCGACATTGGAGGGCTGTGGGGTCTGGCAGGCACTTGGGAATAAAGGGCAGAGCCAGCCCTTTGGCCACGGGCCAGCACCCGCCCTTAAGGCAAAATGCTCAGAGGCAGAGGCTAGGAGGGGTGGGCAGAGCCCGTGGTCCCCCCAGATTGCACAGCCCCATGGGGGCTCCACGGCCCTCAAAACAATCAGGCTGAGCAAGCAGCCAAGGCACAGGGAAAGCTCCCAGGACGGGCAGCCCAGGAAGGCAGTCCAGAGTATGGCATGAAGGGGCTTTGGGGCTCGCGCAGAAGCAGTGGGCCTGGCGGCAAGGGCCCCGGGGCCCGGCTATGAGGAGGGCTGTCCTTGCTTGGGGTCCGGCCTTGGGGCAGCTCAGTTCTGCCCTTCGTCCCGCAGCTCAGAGGGGAGGAACTTGTACTGCTGCTGCCGGATCATAGCCAGCTTCTTCCGCGCCTCCTCCAGTTCCCGCTCTTTGCGCAACATCTCTTCCTGGGCAGCGATGATCTGAGGAGAAGGAAGTGGCAGAAGTCACCTCGGGGGAAGCTCCTCTGGCTCTGTTCCAGCCCCTCCGGGGGGCGGGGGGAAACCCTTACCTGTGCAATCCCCCCGACCATCCGTTCCTTCACTACCACTGTTGCGTTCTCCTCGTCCTCGAAGGCCGCAGCCTTCTGTGCTGCCTTCACCAGGTTGTCTGAGGCCCTCTTGACTGCGTTGCCGGCCGCCTGGCAGATTCGGAAGGGAAGGGGGTTACCCACCAGGGCAGCCTCGGTCACCCTGTGCCTGCAGACCCCTTACACAGGGCCCCGACCCCCCGGGGAACCTTCCAGCCGATTGCTGAGAGGCACTCCCCTCGCCTCCAGCAGCAGGGCTGCCCGGGCCCTGGAGCCAGTGTGCTGTACGAAGACCCGGCCCCAGCTGGCCCAAGGAAAGGTGGTCCTGACTGAATCCGCCAGGGCCCGAACTGGACCCAAGAAAGGTCGACAGCGGCCACTGGGACCAATGGGGAAGGCGGGCCCGCCTCCTTCAAGTCCTCCATCCATGGGAGGAAGAAGGGCAGCTCCCTCAGACCCTCTGCCGCCTCTGCTCTCCTCACCTGCAGGCGCTTCATTGCCTCAGAGTCCTGGTCTGCCTTCACCTTGCACGCCACCAGAAGCTGTGCCGTGGAGGCTGCCACCTGCTTGGCCGAGGAGATGAGCTTCTCTTCGCTGGCGTGGCCTTGGACCGCCGCATTGGCGGCTTCACAGAGGTTGTTGGTGGCAGCAGCCACCATCCGGGCCTTGGCAGAAGGAGGAGGGAGGTGAGCAAAGGGTGAGGTGGACGTTGTGGCCGCCACTTGCCACAAAGGGCCCACACAGACCAAGCCCCCAAGAGCCCAGGATGCCGTGGCCTAGGGAGCCCCCTTTCTGCCCGAGCTTTCCCTTCTCTGATTGACATGGCTCTGCAGGATGGCTGGGGAAGAGCTTGGGGTCTCGGGTTAGGGCAAAAGAGCCCCCCTGCCCACGCCAGAGAGAGTGGACAATGGGTGTGGGAGAGGCCTCCCTCTGTAATGAAAGGACGTCATTCTAAGCAAGAAGAGCCTCTTTCCAGTGAGTGGACAGCCCCCCCCCCAGCCCCCCCCCCACACTCACAGCTGAAATGAGGCCTTGAGACCACTGTCCATCATCCAGGGCGTTGGCTGGGATGGCACCCACCTGGCAGAGAAAGAGAGAGAGGCAGAGAGATGGGGTAGTCAACTCCAGACCAGACTCGAGGGCTTCCTGCCCAGCCCACCCTCCCCCCACTCACTCACCTTGCCTTGGGCCACCAGCTCCCTCTGGGCCGCAGAGGCCGCCTTCACCAAAGCACTGGTGGCCGCAGCAATGGACTTGGCTGCCTCCAAGATCTGCTCTTCAAAGTTGAGGCTCTCATCTGCTTGCTTGAGAGGGAGGGGACCATTAATGAGGGAGGAGGCCTTCCTCACCAGAAAACATTTCCCTGGGGAGTAACGACTGGGGCTCTGAGCCAGACGGAGTGCTTCTGCTCCCCCCTTGTGTTCGAAACGGGCATGAAAAAGCCCCAGACTGGCTCTGCTCGGGATGGAGGAAGCCCGGCTGGCACAGGGCCATGTCATCCCAGGGGGGGGGGTAAACTGTGGCCGGAGTCCTCCTTAGGCCCCCTGCGATGTGGGTCTGCAAGGGGGCTGCCCAGGCTGTTCCTGGACCCAGCAGTTCTGGTGCAGCGAGTGGGGCCCTCCCCACTTCCTCCCACCGGGCGTCATGGAAGGGGCAGAGCTCAGCTGGTAGCGACTCTCATGTGCTGCTGGGGATGGGAGCCCACCTTGGGCTTGGCTCGTGGCTTCAACTGCTCCAGCTTCTTTGCTGCAGCCTCGATCGCAGCGGCTGCCCCCAACAGCTCATTTTCGGCAATGACCGTGGGGTCCTCAGGGTCCACCCACTCGGTCCCTGTGGGAGACAAGAGAGCACAGGGGTCCAGAGCTGCCCCAGGCGATGCCCCAATTCCCGACTCTCCTTCCATGAAGGCTGCCCTTGCTGAAAAGCGCCGTCCTTTTTTTAAGTGCAGGGCCCCACGGCATTCACACCGCACGGCTGACTGGGTCTCTCCCCCCTCTCCTCTCCCATTACGTTGTGCAAGTGCAGCCTATTGGATGGACCCACCACTCAACAATTGAACAAATCCAAAAAAGTAGAGACGGGCAGTCTGGATGGAGGCCCAATGCCCTGCGAGGAGGAGGAGGAGGGGCGGGCAGTCCCAGGCCTCCCCCCTACCTTTCATGGCTTCGGCTGCTTGGATGAGCTCCGTGACAGAGCCAGCTACCCGCTTGGAGTAGCCAGCCAGCTGCTGCTTCAGGTCGTGGCTGGGCTTCTGCAGGATCTGAGGAAGGGGGAGGAGTCATGCTGGGCACCCTCAGGGCCCACCGGAGCCCACCGCTACCAGGGACGAAAGGGAGCAGGGAAGTCAAGAGGAAAGGGAGGAAGATCTGGATTTGCCCAGAAGGGCTGGGGAAGCCAGTTGGGTGTCCAAGCAGCCGGATCACAGGGGCCTCCCAGCGCCCTTCCCCCTGTCCCATGGGGCTTCCCCAACTCACAGGACGGGTGCTTCCTCTGCCCTGGGCAGCCTGGCCGGGCAGGGAGATGGACCTAGATGAAGGTTAACCTCTCTGCATGTGGGGGCTGCTTCTGCCAGTTAGAATTGTCCAGCACCCCACAAGGCTGGTGGCTTAACGTTTCACCACGCGGGGGAAGGCAGTCATCCTTGGGCACCCCTAGGGCCAAGCCCTAGTCCCCCTCCCTCCCGTGGTCACAGTGCATGCCACACTCACCGGCTGGGTCAAGGAAAGTGGGGGAGGGAAGAAGGGGCACGCTATTTGGCGGCGGGATTGGGGAGGGACGGTACCTACCACGAGGACGTGTTCCAGAAGCTCCAGGTAGCCGCTAGCACACTCCTTGCCAAAGCGCAGGGCTCGGTGCCGCACCTCACTGCCCACATCTGGATGGCATGCAGCTTCCTGGAAAGAGACGGACAGATGATTGCCAGCCCAACACAGAAAGGAGGGGCCTGCCCTCCACCCCCCGAGCTGCCCAGCCGCAGCTTCTGCTTCCTGGAGGAGGGTTGCAAGAGCCCCGTTTGAGGGAGTGCCCCTGCCACCCCACCAGGTTGCTTGTCCAATGACTGCATGATCAGACGCCTTCCTCCTCTCCGAACACCCCACTGCTCCTGACCGTGTCCTCCCTCCTGAGAAATGACCACAGGGCCCACCTTACAAGAGCGTAGCATGTCCGCAATGGCACGACGGCTCAGGTTGGCTGTGGCGATCACATCTTCCTGCCGGCATGAGTTGCCGGCTGCCACCGCCTTGGCTGTTGCCATGGTGATGCCTTTTGTCATGCGAATGAAGTCTTCTGGCGTAGAGGTCTTGGCGGGGGGCACCTGGGAGCAGAACACCTGGAGGAGGAGGAGGAGGAGGAGGAAGAGGAGTTAGCCTGAGAGGCCGGGTAGTCAGCCAGAGTTTATGGGGAGCAGGGGGACCAACCCTCACCGCCAACTCCTGCCGAATGTGTTCGATGGTGGCCTCTAGTGCCCGTGTCCCCTTGGTGGCCTCGTCCTCCACAGCTTTGACGGTCTTCAAGAGCGACGTGACGTTGGTGACCATCACCTGCTGACAACCAGCCAAAGAGCTGTTCAAGGACCAGCTGGCCATCTCCTGTGCATCTCGTGTGGTGCCCCACCTCTTCTCCTCGCAAGCAGGAGGACTCCGCCGGGCCCACCCTCAGCCGCCACCTTGCTCCGCCCTGACCTTCGCTGAGTTCTTCAGCTGGTATACGGCAGGATCATCCCCAGACTTGCCAGCGGCGGCTTTGGTAGCACTGATCAGGTCTCCCAGGGCTTTAGCGACGTCCTTGACTGCGTTGATCAGGACCACCTGGGCACAGAGGAGGGCAGGATGAGGCACAGCAGCCGGGACCCGCACAGGCATACCTGCCAGCCACCTGTGGCTGCGATCCTGACCTGAGTCTCGGGGTCCTCAGAGCCCAAACTGGCAGCGCCCAGCTTCACCACCTCTGCCAGGCGTGTAATGGTCGTCACCGAAGACTGCGCAGCTTGGGCTAATTTCTCTTGGCTCGCAGTGGCGTTCTGCACCAGCACTTTGGTGTCTTCCACCAGCGCTTTGGCTGTCTTCAAGATACCTTCCCTGCCAAGGAAAGAGCCCGTCACAGCCCACTGGAGACAGACGTGATGGCATCAAGGAGCTCCCGCCCACCAGCCCACAGGAGCCACAACCTGTGGTCAGCGAAGGTTTCCGCATTCTCCCGGTTGAGGGTTCCAGCGGTGGCAAACATGATGGTGGTGTCCAGATCTGCAATGATGCCTGACACGGCACTGGCTGCGGTGATGCATGCCTGGGTGCCCCTGTTGCCAGCCTGAAGGGCTGCCAGCACATGTGAAACCTGCAGGGGAGCAAAGGCAGGACATCCGCTATGGTCTGTGGGTCCAATCCCCAATACGCACCTAGGTGGGGGGTAGGCACGAGGGGGACTCTTCCACTCCCCGCTGGAGTCACCTTCTCAGAAACCTTGCGGGCGCATTCAATCAACTCCTTCTTGGTGTAGGCATCGCTGGGGCTGCACTGGAGGGCTCCAGCGTTGGTCACAAGAGCGGCACAGCCATGGCCCAATTCCTGCACTCTGTTCTTAATGTGGGCGCCAATCTGGATGGGAGCATGAATTTCAAGAAAGCGCCTCACTGGCTGCCAGCTCTGCCTTGGAACCCTTCTGGGGGGGCAGGGGGGGATGTGGTATGCGCCTTTTCCACAAACCCACTTTGGAGCTATCCGACTCACTACTGACAAAGGGGCCCCAATATCTACCTTGCTCTCGGCTTTTATGCCTGTCAAGCCAGGCTAGGAACAGGGGCAACCGACTCCCCAGGGAGACAGGGCAGCTTTCTCGAGACAGATGCAGAACTGGGCCAGCCTGCCCCCTTCCCACCACCCCAGGAAATCGACCTGCCTGGCGCACTACTCTCTGTTGCCAGGATCTCTGCAGCAGCCTCTAAATGCTCCTGGAAAGATCACCTCCAAGGTCCTCCCCTCCCCCAACTCTCATGCCCTCCCTCACCTCTTCATTCTCTGCTGTGAGGGCAGCGGGCTTGGCCTGCAGGGCTAGGTGCCCGTAGTCCGTGGTGAGCTGGTTGGCCAAGATGCCAAGTTCATCTGGGTTGGTGGTGGATTTGGTCACCTGTGGCGGCAGCATAAGATAAGAGGTAGGAAAGGGGGCAAAAGGACCAGGCCTGGGCTCTGGAAGGGGGTCTGCCCAAAGCCCACCCTTCCCCAAAGAGGTCATCCAATCGGCTCACCATCTCCTGTACTGTCACAGCTATGGCCTTGGCAGTCTTCACCATGGTGGTCTGGTAGTCCACAAATGTGCCTTCGGGCTCTCCCATCGGGCCCTCGTCCAGCTGCCCAATGGAAGGAAAGAGCCCAGGAGGGGGGCTACTGCCCTGCTTCTCAGCATAGACCTGTGTCCCCCCCCCCCCCCCCTTCCCCCCCCTTTTCTTTTGGCTGATGCAAAGATTGCCCCAATTGGGGGGGGGGGGCAGGCAAGCTGGCCGATGGGAGTGACTTCAGCGCCCCAAAAGACTCGACAGCAAATTCTTTCAAGATCTCACCTGAGCCTCTCTGGCTCCGCCTGAACCCCCTGGGGTGCCTACAAAGCTGGTTTCGCAAGGCTTCTGGTGCCATAGGGCAGCCGGGCACAGGGGCTTCCCAGAGAAGAGGCCCAGTGGCCCAAGGAAGGCCGGACCGTGGTTTCTTTGCTCACCTGGTTGATGGCCTGCCTGATAGAGTCCACCATGCCGCCTACCACCCCCGCGGCACTGGCAGCTTCGTTCAGGGTGGCTGTGAGGTCTTCCACTGCCTCCCTCATCATCTGCGCTGCCTCCTCCAGGGCCTCCTGCGTGTGGGCCGCCTGCTGCAGAGAGAAGCCCCCGTCAGGCCCTGGTCGCAGTCCAGGTGGCAAATGCGTAGCCTCCACACACACATGGATCTGGTGCCAGCCCCATGGGTACCTTGGGGTTTCCTCCGGCCTCCTTGGCCGTGTAGAGCATCTGCAGACCGGACTCTGCCAGCGTCTTGGTCTGGTCCAGAAGGTTCATTTGCTGCTGGTGATTCAACATCTTGGAGGCTGCGCCCACCGCAGCCATGACCAGGGGTTCAAAATACTGGGCCAGCTGGGAAACCTGGAGGAGGAGGAGGAGGAGGAGGAGGAGAAAAAGGGGTGTGGGGATGGGAAGGGGCACCCGAGATGGAGAGGGAGGGGCACGTGTAAGGGGTTGGGCAATCAAGGCACTGCTCTCCAAGCCCGCACAAGGGGGCCAGTCCAGAGGACAAGAGGGCTGGCACCAAGGGGACCTCACACTGAGTCTCCCCCATCTTCTTCAGGATCCCGAGAGCTTTCCGTCTTTTTCACCAAGCGAAAGCACATCCCTCCACGTGTCTCACCCTAGAGCTGGGTGGGCATGGAGAGCAATGCTGGTGTCACAGGTAGCCCAAGCAGGATTGCAAGTGGCCCTGGCAGAGGCTCAGCCAGGGAACTCCGAGGGCTCCCACCGTACTCCAGAGCAGCCCAGTCACGTCTAGCACCCAGACTCCCCACTGGCAGCCCTCCCACAGCCTTCTTGGCCCCAGCCTTGGGCTCATCACCTACCCGAGGACGCCAAGCCATCCAAATCCTCCCCCCCCGCATGCCTCGAAGGTCATTTCCTAATTTGAAAGATTGCAGTGCCTGGCTGTGGAATGAAAAAGCAACGCCAGGGCTGTGGCCGGTCGCTGCCTGCTGCCGCCAGAGCAGGTGAGGCACCCTTTGGGGACCCGATGTTCCCCCAAGGGGGCCAATTGAAGCACAGAACAGCTTTTTTACTGCTTGAAGCCCACCTTGGCTTCAAGTCCCATGTCTTGGGGTCTTATAGCTTTGCCCCTTCAACCGCCCAACCCCTTACCCGAAGATCTCAGGATTGTAGATTGAGGAAGGGCCTTAGGATCACCCGGTGCACCGCCTGCCCCGTGCAGGAAAAGCATTCCCAGGACAAGCGTCCAGCTTCTTCTTCTGAGAAGCCTCCAGAGATGGAGAAACCTTGACTGCTGTTCCACTGTGGCATCCTAATCCTACCACTGGCCAAGTTTTGCTTATAGTTAAATGCTGTCTTAAGTAGCTGCCACTCAAAAATCAGAATACCAGCCCATCCACTTGGGGGCTTTAAGGCTGCATTTTTCCTGGGTGACTTTCTGCTGGCCCTACATGAAGGCAAAGGAGGCCTATCTGGGGTCAGCCTGCAGGGCAACCTGGTGGCCCCTCAGAGAAGCGCTCGAGATGCTGGTGGATCAGCCCCTGTCCTCAAACTAGTCTCCTGGCGGGATGATTTCCAGGATCCCACGGGGCAGGGAGAGGGGAGGCTACGTCCACTCAGGAAGATGAACTGGGATCAGTGAAAGTGCAGAACGTCCTAAACAGTGCCAACAAACCACAATGGCTGTTTGTACCACAGACCATGGCCAAAAGACTATAATGGCTGTGTGTGATGGGCTTTTGGACTGTGTGCTACCAAACCTGTTTTGAGCCTGGCCAAGAATCTGCCGCAAACAGAGCCAGGATGGCACCACCCTGGCAGCCAGAAAGACTCTTCTGGCTTGGAGCAAGAGGAAGACCTCAAGCCCCCACAGGGCGGCCAGGCGGGGGGCAGTGGGGTGGGGGCTGCAGACGTTCAAAGCCCTGTAGTGGGACTGGAGCTCCCCCTTTCCCTCCACTGCATCACGAAGAAGGGGTCAGAGTGCAGCCTGAGAGACACCAGGCCAAGGAGAGCCAGGGCTTGCCAGCCTTCCCACTGGCGGCGGAGGTCTCCTGTCGCTGTAGCCAGCGGCCTCACCTTGTGACCCAGCTGGGAGGCCTCAGCACGAGCAGCACCTGCCACGGGTTCAATGAGGTTCCTGATCTCCTGAACAGCTGTAAGCATCTGGTTATGCAGGGCCTGCAGAAGGAGTCAGTCCTGAGCACCAGTTTGGGGCAGCAGGAGGACAATTCCCCCCACCCCAGAAGCTGGAGCAGGACCCAATTCTGATACTGGAGGGCCTGCAGTCTCTGCCCCTGGCCAGAAGGGGCCACCCAGCTGGCCGGCCTCCCTCCCACCTCCTTTTCTGCATTGCTGGAGACAGACAGCTCCTCAGGCTCTCCAACTTGGTGAACTAGTGGTCAGACTCTCCCCAGAAGCCCATCTGGCTGCTCCCCCAGCACCAGCCGAGCCCCTCCTCACCTCCTGGGAGATGCCTTCGCGAGGCGCCAGCTGCTGGCTGATGGCTGCCAAGGAGGCCTGGTCCACGTCGCGGACACACCTGTTCAGTGCTTCAATGGCCTCGTCGCACTCACGCTGGCCAGGAGCTTTGTCCCTACAGACAGCAACCAGATGTCCACACTTGGGCACCTTCCTACTTCCCCTCCCCCAATGGCTGCCTCATCTGTTCTCCCCTCCCCAGTTCTGCCACCCACAGAGATGCCAATGTCCTGCCAATGATTTGGAGGGCAGAGCAGTCACTTTTCCAGACATCTGGCAAGGAATTAAAGATGGCAATTCCTGAATCTTAAGGTAACAACACCCTCCGCCTTCCCCGTTGTGTGAATGGTCTCTCTCTCTCTCTCTCTCTCCCCCCACCCACCCATGGGGGAAAGAGAGCCGGGCAAACAGTGGGCACCCACCTCATGTTGGTGATCAGCTTCTTGATCGAATCGGAGACAGTGCGCGAATGGCCCGCCAGCACCGACCACTTGGGAGGGTCCTTTGGGTTGACCGCCAGAGAGCGAGCGGTCTGGATAAGGCCAGCAGAGCTTTCTAACATGGTCTTGGCAGAGGAGAGGATGGGCTCCATGGCCCTGCGCCCCTACAGGGAATCAGCAGAGAGTCATTCCAGGGCAACAGGCCAAGGGCTGCCCAGAGTGGACCCTTCCTCCTTCCCGGGCCCCCAGCAACCTCTGCCTACCTCTGGGCTGATCTGGGCAGGGATGGTGGCAAACTCAGGATTAGAGGCGAAGGCAGTCAGGTTCTCCACTGCTTCTATCAGTGGGGCCGTGGCTTCACGGCAGCGCTCGCGGTTCTCTGGAGTGAAAGCGCCATCCAAAGCCTGCGGGAGACCCCCGTTGAGCTTTTACCTTCCATGCTGTGATAGAAAAGCTCCCGGAGCCCAGAACCAGCCACTTCTCGCTCCCACAGAGGTAGAAAGCTGAGAGGCACCCACACAGCCAAGATGGAGGAGGGTCAGCCTGCAGTGGCAAGGGCGATCACTTCAACCTCACAGCCACCCTCCCCCAGCCAGAAACTTTCCCCCATCCTTTGCAAGATGACTTCACAAAACGTCTAAAATCTGTCCTTTGGGCCAACCTCCGTCGTCAGGCCCAGAGAATGACCTAAGCATGTAGCTGCTCAGTTCGCGAGCCAGCCAGGCGTGGGGCCCCTATTAACCCTGAGGCTTCTCCCTCGGGGGCCTTTGCGTTTCATGGCCCCCAACTGCAGGGCTCTCATTTCTCTCTGCCGAACACCCCCTTCCCAGCTGGAAATCTGGGGGTACCTTGATGGTCTTGACGAGGTTGGCTGTGCTGTTGGCTACCTCCTTGGCAGACTGGACAAACTGGCGCTTGGCCACCGGATTCGCGGTGCGGGAGGAGGCCAGTCGGCAGGTATTGCAAAGGGCGGAGGTATGCTTGGCCACAATGGTAGCGGCCGACAAGACCTGCGGAAGGCAAGGAGGCCCCTCCGCCTTAGCTCTACCCACAAGGAGGCTCAAGGAATCACCCGATGACAAAAAGCCCACCCCCCTGCCTCCATGTGAGGATCGCCATTGGCTGTGGGGCTGCATTCACAACTGCTTGGCTCAAGGGCCCCCTCTAACACAGAATAACAAAGTTGGAAGGGACCTTGGAGGTGTTCTAGTCCAACCCCCTGCTCAGGCAGGACACCCTATACCATTCTGGACAAGTGGTTATCCAGTATCTTCTTGAAAACCTCCAGTTTTGGAGCACCCACAACATCTGGAGGCAAGCCGTTGCACTGATTAATTGTTCTAAGTGCTAAGAAATTTCTCCTTAGAAACATCCACCTTCCCTCCCGGCCACAGGTAGCCATTACCTGGGACTGTGTGCAGGCTGGGTCGATGAGGTTCTGGCAGGCCATCTGGATGGCTTGGTTGGCTCTGGCAAACTGGGTGGGGTCCACCAGGCCTTGCTGACCGGCCTGGCTGTTGGGGTCAGAAACGCCAACCAAATATGCTGCCTGTAACAAGAGCATGGATGGGGGAGTCCTGAGAGCAGCCTCCTGCAACGTCTCTGCTCCACAGTGGGAGCATTGCCCCCCGCCCCCCAGCCTCACGAGGGGCCTCTGCCTCCCACCTGGGCAGCCGCTTCAGTGAAGCCGCAGAGGGCCTTGGAGGCTGTACTGACGGATTCTCCAAACTCTGGCAGCTTGCTGTTCTTGGCATTCTGTGAGATGCCAGCCATGGCCTCGCCCAGCACCTGCAGGAGACAGAAGGCAGGGAAACACGTGCATGCATGCGTGGGTGCACGTGTGCACGGAACTATGGATCCTGAGGGCTTCTGGCACTGCAATGGCAATAAGCAGCTTTCCATGCCATTCAGAGAGAGCAGGTTTTAAAGGGGGAGGGAGAAGAGGTTCCAGAGATCTGCAAAACTTCCCAAGATGACTCAGAAAGGGGATGGACACCCCCTGCCCCAAACCCCCTTGGAGCAGAAGCTGGACTTCCTTCTATCTGGATACCTACCCTGAGTTTTGGGGGACTTGAAGGCCTCAACCAAGACTCTCCCAACCAGAGTTCTAAGAGCCTGGCTCAGCCTGCTGGCCATCGGATCCCCACCCACCCACCCCCGCTCACCTTGGAGTTCTCCATGACGCTGTCCAGGCAGTTGAAATAGGACATGTCACTGACGGCCTGGGTGGGGTTCTCCAGAAGTTCTCGCACCGTCTGGAGAAGGTTAGGGTTAGGGTTAGGCCTGCCTCCCAGTCAGCCTCATGGCACCTGCCCTCCTCTGGGTGGGACTGGCTCACCTCCAGCTCCCGCAGAGCATTGTCACACTCCTTCTGGCCCGGTGCCTGCTGGGTGCACATGGTGATCAGCTGGTTGATGCTGTCCGTCACAGCCCTGCCAGGGTTGGGGGGCAGGAGAGGAAGAGACGTTGCCATTAAGCCTGCCCTGCACTCGACCCTGGGCATCCAGGTGTCACACAGCTCTCTTGTCCTAACCCCTCCCTCCTTCTCCAAGAGTGGCCCCATTGAGCATCCCGGAAGTTCTTGGGGAAGGGAGGGGGAGGCCCCACCCACCCCGCCACCACCAGGGCCACGTACCGGGCAGCTGCTGCCAGCTGGTTCTTGAGATTGGGTGCTGCAGGGTCTGCGGAGAGTGCTTTGGCTGCCAGGAGCAACTTGCTGGAGGAGAGCGAGATGCCCTTGAGGTTGGACACCAGCTGGCCCTGGGCCTCCTTTGACTGCAGGGGAGGGAGACAGAGGGCGTCATCAGACCCTCGAACCACACCCAGCCAGCCCATCGCTGCAATCGGTGTTCTGTGACGGGCGGCCCCCTCCCCTGCCTAAATTCTCTCCCTGCTGCTCAACTTGCTAGAAGTGGGGCAGTTCCCAGAGCAAGCAGCCAAACCCTTCTCTTTTTGCCTTGGGACTTCACAGCCCTTCTGGAACGACGACCGTGCCAAGCACAGGATTTCTCAGCAGCCTGAGCTCTTAGTCCCCAGACCCCAAGTGCAGCTGTGACTTGACCCAGCCTCCCTCCCCCCCGGGTAGTGCCTCTGCCCTCCACAGGATGTCAAGAGCGAAGAGGGATCTGGCTGGCCCTGCCGCATCTCATCCCAGGCCCTCCGCCAATCCCAACTTCTGGTCTGACCTGCTCTGCCCCCCTGGGCTGTGCTGGACCTTCAGACTCCCCCAAGCAGACTCCCCTCGTTCCAGGGAGAAGGGCCTAAGTTTCCTCCCACCCCTCCGCACTGGAACTGCCTTGCAGGAAAGAGATTTTCACCTCTGGTCACCCCCCCACACACAAGCGTTCTCTGCTCTGAAACCCCTGAGGCCTCACCCGGCCTGCCAGTCATGGGGCCTGCTGCAGCAAACCCAGCTCCCTTGGCCATGGGCACCATGGCATCTGCCTGGCAGCCCCGGGGAACCCGCCCTGGACACTGTCTGGAGCAGCTCATGCCTTCAATTCGCATCCCGCCTGGGCTCTGCACTTCCAAACATCCTGCTTGTGCCTCCCACCACACACCATGTGGGAGTGCACCCATGCACGTGCTTTAAGACGAGGTGCTCCTTCTGCACAGGCACTGGAGAGCTTCTCCGCCCATCCAGGAAGCTCTTACCTGGGACTGTCCGGCCATCTCCACCCCAGCCTGTAGGAACTCATTGAAGTCCTGGCCAAACTTGCCGGAAGCCTTGGCCAAGTTCTGGGGTGTCCCGCGCGACGCCTGGACAAGCTCATTAGCCGACTGGTTCAAGCCAGCTGCAGCCTGGTTCAGCTGGCTCTGGGCCTCCTGGAAGTTCTTGGTGCTGGGAGGAAACTGGGAGCAGAAACAGGGGTCAAGCTCGGAGGCCTGGGGGCCCATTTCAACTCCTGACAAATCGGGAACTGGCCACAGCTCAGGCGGTTTCCCTTAAGGACTAGGTCACAATATCCGGTTCTCCTCCTCCCAGACACCTGCAGGCCATCCCTCCAGCAGACACCACCCCTGTGGCCGGGGTGGGGGTTGGCATGTTTCAATCTGGGTCTCTCCCAGGGATCAGCTTCAGCAGGCCAGTGGGGGCGGCTTTCTTCAGAGTTCAGCAGCTGGCCCGCCCACATGGGGCCGGTCTGTGCTCTGCCCTGGCCCTGGGCCCCCCACCTGCCCAGACCTAAAGTGGCCCCCGACTCACAGAATCGGCCAACAGCCTCTTGCTAGCCTCGCCAACCGTGTGGATGGCAGCATCGACGTCCCGCTGACCGGGCAGACAGTTGACACAACGGTTCAGGGCTTGGGACACGGCCTTGGCCACCTGCAGAGAGGATGTGGAGTGTTTGGCCTGCCCTCCCAGACACCTCCCCACCCCAAGCAGCTGCTGCCCCTAGCAAGAATAGGCCCAGCCAGGCCCCTGGGCTCACCTGGGCCAGGCGCTGCTGGCTCTCAGCATCTCCTGGCTTGGACACCGCCTTGCGGGCCTCCCGGATGAGGCTGCTGGCTTTGTCCATGACGTCTCCAGCACAGTCCAGGGTGGCTGCTTGAGCCTGAGGGTCCTCCATGCTGGCAGCCACACCCCGTGCAGCCTGGCTGAGGGAGCGCAGCGCTTGCGCTGCGTCCCGGGCTGCAATCCCTGCGGAGAGGGGAGAGGGGCATGGGAGTCCCTGGGGATGGGCAGCCCAGCCATACCCACCCTGCTCAGCCATCTTCCTGCATTCAGAGCCTGGAGATGAACAAGGGCCTTGCCCCCATCCCAAGCAAGGCAAGCCCAGCTGGGCTGGGGCATCTCAAGGGGAAGCGGGGTGCAGCTGTAGAGCAAAATGAGCCTCTGACCTCTCAGGCCAGGTGGGGGAGGACAGCGTCCTGGCCAAAGGACAGGGCAGGCCACCCACAAATATGCATCCCTCCAGCCACGATTGTAGCCACAACTGTCACAACCCCTGCAGAACCAGATACCTGTGTAGTTCTCGTTGCCCTGGGCAATCTCTCCCAGCAGGTGAGCAATGGCAGAGCTGACCGCCTTGGTGCTATTGCCCAGGTCCTGGGCACACTTCTCCATCTGCAGCACAGACAGGCTGTCAGGAAGGCCCTGGAGCCCCCAGAGGCTCCCCACCACAGCTCCCCTGAATCCCCCTCCCCAACATACCGTCTCCCCTGGAAGGGGCTTCAGTTTGCCATCCCGTGCAGCCGCCTTGGCCTCCTGCAAGTCTCTCTCCAGGCTCTGCACCAGGCTGAGGGCCGAGTCGATCTCCAGCGGGCCACAGGCCTCCTGCGCCTGGAGGGAACAGGGGAATCCGTCCTGATCACCTGCACACACTGCCCCCCAGGGGGAGTTCCTGCCAAGACCAGGGGTTCCACATTTTCCTGACAAAAGGGAAGCCCCACCCCCACCCCGGGAAAGAGGCCAGGCTCAGCCGGGTCTGGCACAAGCAGCCTCTCAGACAGATCGAGGCATCTCCCTTGTGCTCCTGCCCACCCCCCCACTAGGGGGGTGATACCAGAGCCCCACAGGCAAAGTTGCTGACCTTCTGTGCTGCTGTGCGGAGTTCAGCAAGAGCTGCTGCCAGGTTCTTAGCGCACTGGCTGAGCTGCATGGCAGAGGCCTGATCCGAGATGGTGGGTACCGTAGCCTTGGCAGCAGCCACCATCTTCCCACCAGGCTACAATGGAAAGAGGACAGATAGGCGTCACGTGCAGTGGCCAGGTTTGCCAAGCATGTGCCGTAAACCCTCTGCTAGCCCCTGGCCGGGCCAGAGCGTCTGCTCACCTGCAGGAAGTTCTGGCTGGCAGCAATGAGGGCCAGCTGGGCACTGGGGCTGTCAGGCTGCGACTGGCTGCCACGAACTCCCTGCACCAGCATCGGGATCTGATCAGCCACCACCTGCCAGGAGAGAAGATGGGAGAATGTCTTGGCTGCAGGCCCACCCTGGGGCACCCTGTTCTACTGGGGGAGGATGGTGAAGACAGGCCCACCCCACCCGTGTCGGGGCCAAGGAATCAGAGGGGGCTTCAAGGTAGGGTTTGGCCCCCACTTCCAGCTTACCTTGCAGCTCTGCACGAGCTGCTGCTGGGCGGAAGGGTTCTTGCTCCCCCCGGCACTGTGCTGGGCAGCCGCAATCATCTGTGTGGCAGCTGCAGCGGCTTGCTTGGCTGCGTGCTGGACAGAAAGATCCGGGTGAGACCCTCACTTTCCGAGTCAGAAAGAGCTGGCCAGGAAGAACAAAATCGGAGAGCTTTGCCCTTCCCCGAAACTGACCTCTAGCCGATGCACCAGCTTCTTCTTGATGGCATTCTGGGCTGCTGCATTGGTAGCCATGCGAAGCCCCTCAGCCGCTTCCCGTAGCCGCTGCTGCTGCTCCTCACTGTCTGGGTGGGCCGCTGCCCCCTGGCAGGAAGGACGGAGGCCCGTCAGGAACAAGCTCGTCCCCAAATTCCTCTGCTCCATCCGGAAGGGGCGGCTCTAATAAACAGCCACCCACAAGGATGGGCTCTGGCAGAGTCCACTCGCCGGAAAGCTGCCTGCCAGGGGGCAGAGCGTGCCTTTGCCTGGCACTGCTTGCCCAGGGGAAAGGGCCATTTTCTGCACTGTCCAGCTTTGGCCATAGAGCCAAACAGGCACCGCACACCCCAACACTCTTCCCCGTGCATTTCAGGGCCAGACCTTTGCTGCTTCCACCATCTTGGCTGTAGCATCTGCCAGGATCTTGGCGGCACTCAGCAATTTCCGTGAGTTTTCCAGGTCGGTCTCTCCCTCTGCATCAGCCTTGATGGCATTCACCAGGTCAGATGTCGCCTGGGCCAGGATGCGAGCCTGACGAACCATTTCACCTGGGGGGCAGAGAGCAGGGAGAGGCTGTGAGGGGTTGTCCAGTAACCACGGCTGGCATCGCCTTGCAACTCTGGGGCTTTGCAGACAGGGCAGCCTCCCAGGTGGCGTTCCTTACCAGCGTCGCCCATGGAGCTGAAGATGTTCTCAGTGACGTTGAGGATGGTGTCGGTAGCCTGGTCGTAGCGCCCAACGGGCTGTCCACCTGTGGCGTGCTGCTTGATGTGCTCCAGCAGGTCATTGAGCGCCTGAGTTACTGCGGTGGCAGCCACTCCCACCTGTTTCAGCAGCTGCTCGTCAGAGGTGGCCGCCTGGGAGGCATCCACACAGCCTTCCACTGACTTGGCCACCAGCTTCCCAGCCTCGATCAGTTGTTCCTGGCAGACGGGGGAGCTGATGGTGGGAGCGACCACCTGCCAAAGAAAGAGCAAGGTGCACAGGTCGGGAGAGGGCTCTCTGGCCACAGTCCAGCGGAGAAAGGAAGAGGGCCTCTGGGCCCAGGCAAGAAGGGAGAGCCCCCCCCAGCTGCCCCCCCAGAGGCTATGCTGCTGACCACCCAAATCCCAGGCAAGAAGGACCCACCTTGGTGCAGGCCACCAGCTGGGAAGTGGAGAGGGCACACTGTGTGGCTGCAGCGATCACCTGCGTTTGCAGCACCGAGTCCTCTGTCTTCTGGGCCACATTCTTGGCCTTCAGAACCAAAGCGGCTGCTGCACTGGCCACCGCCTTGGCAAGCTGCATCAGCACATCCTGGGGAAGGAAGGGCCACATCAGGCCACGTCCAGTGCAGGATCTCCGGCTTCTCCCCCCAGAGCCCTGCCTGGAGGTGACCACACTTCCGCCACCAGCCTGCCCAAGCAGGAATCTTCACCACCAGAGCAACTCAATCTCAGGCGCAGAGTGCCGCACACCAAGCCCATCACCAAGCCCAAGCCGTCACAGCTTGGGGGCTGAGAGAGCAGAAGGGGCTGCCAGGGCCGAGCATCCCTTTGTGCCAGTTTGTAAACCTACCCCCCCTCCTTTTCTGACCAGCTGAAACTCCCCACATCGAGAAGGGACCCTATATCTCCGGGTGCTCAGAGAGTGCCAGGTCACCCCTGAGGAAGGCAGGTCAGATCCATGCAGTGAGCGCAGTGGGGGACCCCCATTACCCAGTCACAGATCGCTTTCCAAGGAGCTTTTAAATTAGACGGTGGGGATTGGCAGCAGACAGAGTCTAGCCAGAGAGCGGCTTTGAAGAGCCCGGCAAAGAGAAAGCTTTGCAGAAACCCCTCCGCCAAGCACACCGATTGGGGATGGATTGGCAAGAGCAGGAGCTCTTCAAGGAGCACAGCCACAGACCAGCTCGGGCCCTTTTACCGTCTTGCCATCGGGGGCGGACAGGGTCCGGAGGCGCCGGCTCTCCACAATCTGTATGTGAACATCCACAACCTGAGAAAGAGATTATGCCAAGCCCACGAACCTTGGCTGCCTGTTGTGGAGTCACTTTCCAGGCCATCAGACCTCACTGAATCCCCACCCCATCCCCTGACTCAAGGCAGGAACCTCAGTTTTGGACTCTCCCAGCAGATGGTTGGAGCCCTCCCGGCAGGGAAAGCTCACTCTGACTCTGCACCGCCAACTGACTGCCGACTCTCAGGCAGTCCTTGCTGGGGTGGGGCAAACTCATTAGTCTGTGACCCCAGACCCTGGGGCCCTGGTAGTCTTGGCCTCCTTTGTGGACACCCCTCTGGGGATCAGAAGGGCCCGCTGTCACCCCATAGTCCCACTGACTTTTTTCCCAGTCTCTCCACCTAGAGACTTCTCTGCAGCCCCCCGGATGTCATTCAGCCACTCCTAAGCTGGTCCAATCTATTTGGGGTGGCAGGCTGGGACCAGTCTGCTCTCAGCAGACCCCTCACCTGGAAATGGGGATCCGTGTCACTCTCTCCAATCTCCTGCAGCAATTCTCCGCTGGTCTGTCCCACCGCGCCAGCTGCCTGCAACAGAGCCTGCCGTGGCTGGAAGTAAGAAAGCAGGACCCACATCAGCGCCTGGTCCTCTGTCTGGTCATATGTCCCGAGAAGGGCAGGCTGCCACTGTGCACCCTCTGGACTGTTAATGGCAAGAGTCACCCTCTCCCCTAGGATTAAGAAACTAGCTGCCGCAGGAGCTGGGGCACCTAGGCGAAAGCCCCACCAGGAAAACAGGACCAGCCCAGGAGCCCCTGGGCCAACACTGCTGTCAGGAAACTATTCTAGGTCTCAAGATAGGCAATGTCCCACCCTGCTCCCCCTCCCCATCCCCCGGCCCTGCTGCTTGTTCCCGCAGGACCAGAAGTGCAATTGCACCGGTGGAATCAGGCAGGGGCCGAATTCACCTGCTCCTTTCCTGTTCCTTTTCCACAGGAGCTCTAAGCAGCAGTCACAGCGTTCCCTCCACCCCTATTTACTGCATAACAACACTGTGAGTTGGGTTGGGGTGCAAAAGAGGAATGAGCCCAAAGACTCCCAGACAGATTCCACTGCCAAGGGGGATGGGAATCTGCAGCCCCCTCCCACTCCCACCAGCTCCTACCCCACCCTGGCTCTCTTAGGTCCAGTGTCCCAAGCCAACTCCCCACCCCTTTGGAGCAGGTTCCGGGCCATTCCCTTTCTCACTGACCTCAGCGCTGGACGGCTGGGCTGTTTTTAAGAGTTCTGAGACAGCCCCAGCCAGATTTTTAGCGGCATGAAGGAGTTGCCGCCCATTGCCGCCCTCGTCCTCCATTAGTGCCGCCAGCAGCTTCACCCCCTTGGACATCTCGGTCAGGTTGGAGGAGATGGTAGTGACGGCGCAGCCCACGGCCGTGTAGTCTGTTTCTGCCGGGTCACCGGCGGTCAGGTTGACCACTGAAGCCGTGCCTGCGGTGATGGCATCGACTTGGGAGTGGATTTCGTGCTTCGACTCGTCCATCTTGTTCTTTCGCCAGGCCTTGGAGGCCTACAGATGGAGAAACAGGAGTCATCCCAGGGGTCCGGCCCCAGGAGGGGCCTCTTCATGGGGACACCCAGCCTCCCTCCTTCCTGGCACTCTCACCGCATCTTGGCCCAGGGGCGGGAGGGTCTCGAAGTCGTCCAGGCTGGACTGTGCAGCTTTCACGGCCTGCAGGCTGGAGTTGAGTGTGCCCGTGAGGGCCTGCTGAGCCGATGTCTGCAGGGCAGAGCAGAAGAAAGATGGATGAGCCAATGCCCCACTAACTGTCCCGCCCCAACAGCAGCAGCAACAGCAGGAGGGGTGGGCAAGTGGGGCGGATGTGGGGCTGCCTCCCTGTTTCCCAAGAATCAGAGGTTACTTTAGGAAGGAGCACCAAGCCTCGGAGGGCAGCAGGAGTACCAACACCCGTGCCCGAACAGCAAGGACCCAGGGGACGCAGTGGCTGGAGCTGAGGCCAACTAGGAGGTCCAGAGTCCAGCCTAAAGCATGGGACCCTTACCAGAGGGGGCATGTGCCCCCGATGCATCTGCCCACTCGTGACCTGCTGCTGGGCCTGGGGCATGGTGCCCATCTGGAAGTTCTCCGGCCCACTGGCTCCCGGCCGTATGATGACTGGGAGGGCCACGGAGCTGTGCTCGGCTTTGTTCAGCTGGTTGAACTGCTGCTGCAGAAGGGTCGACCTAGGAGGCAAGCAGGGCGTGAGGTGCATCCCCCACTGCCTCCTCCCTGACAGACTCCCACCCCCACTCCAGTAAAGCCGGTCTTACTTCTTGGGGGACACGGAGTCCTCCAGCATGGTGGATTCCTCGTCTCCTTCCAAGCCAAAGTGGTCTTTGCTCTTTTTCTGTAAGTCAGAGGCAGCAATCATCCCTGCTCCCCCAGGCCAGACCCCGAGACAGCAGCTGAAGCCACACAGACCAAGTCAGGGGACACACACCCAAAGTGAGGCTATGGCTCAGGGTGTTGTGGTCCGCCAGCAGCCTGCAGAGCTGGCAGCGGAGTCGGACAGTGAGGAGGCTGGGGAGGAATATGGGCCAGTCCTGGAGTCTGGGGAAGGCCCGGACGAGGGCTCTGAGTTTGAGGCAGAGATGGGGCCAGGGCCATCTGGGAGTGATGCATGGACTCCGGAGCCCGCAGAATCCGGCAGCAGAGAGGCAGATAAACAGGAGGAGCCTTTTCCTAATGCACGCATGCGCAGAGCTGCCAGAAGGCAAGAGCAGCTAAAGCAAAAGGGACGACTCAGGAGTAAGGCCAGGAGATGATTGGCCCCTCCCATAAGGCTTAAAAGAGAAACAAAGGCACTTGGGCCTTTTGCAGGAAAGCAACATTGCTAACTCTGTTTCTAGTTGTCATCTCTTGTTTGTTTCTGAACTTCATGGAGCTTTGCCAAGTAAGGCCTTTGGCAGGGTGTCAAAGAAGATAAAGGTTGGTGATTATCCCAAAGGACTTCTTCCTAAGGACTTGTTTTGCAACTAATTGGGACTCAGCTGGGAATGAACCTAATTCTCAGCTGTTATAATAAAATAGGTTTGTTTGGGACTAATTGTGTATTGTAATGACTCAGTAAATCTAGGTCACAACACAGGGCACCCCTTGATCCAGATCAGGAGCCGGCCTTCCTCTCCTGCCCAGACCCCCACCCACCCGAGACCCACCTTCTTCAAGATGATGTCAATGTACCCAGCGATGAGCTGGGCAATCTGCTCCCCTTCGGTTGTCTGTACAGAGTAATAGCCGTCCTGATAGTCCCCAAAGTCCTGCAACCCCAAAGCCAAGGCAGTCACTGGAGGGGGGGGGTTCCAACTGGGGCTGCTGCCCCCCCAAGACGCGACTGCTGAAGGTCTTGCTGCTCTTGGAAGGGGCAGCCAGGGAGCAACGACTCTCCCCATGACCACCTCCCTCCACACTCCTGGGCCGGCCAAAACAAGCCCCTCTTGCTGCCGCTCAGGAGCAGCCGGACTGAAAGGCTAGGCTGCTGGTGCTAGGCTGCTGGTCAGCGGGTGGCAGATTCAGCCATTCCGTTTAGTTAGGACCACCCCATGACCCCTTGGGGGTCTCTCAGGCGGCAATGGGTTTGGAAGGCGGGTGGGCACAGCTGTTTCAGAGGGCAGTTCTCTGGGAAGTGGCTTATACGGCCCCAAGTGGTTGGGGGTCCAGGCAGACTCTGCCTGCTCCAGGAAGTCAGGGGGCTCTCAGGGTGGCCTCTCCCCTCCAGATCTGCCTTTCGCCTGCAGACTTTGGGGTGGGGGGAGAAGGGCTTCCCCAGTCAGGCCTTAATGGGCCTTCATCTCTGTGGCCTTTTTCTTGGGGCTGCAGAGTGGAACCCTTACCAGGGTGAAGCTCTTGGGAGAGGCTGCCCAGCGCTTGATGTTGGTCAGATTCCACTCCTGAATGACCTCCTTGGTCTTCTCGTCCACACGCATCACACACTCCTTGGTGATGCCCAGGAGACGGGGGACCAGCTTGTTCTTCCCCTTCATCTTCTCCTACAAGGCAGATGCCCATGCCATAGGGTGCGCCCCCTCCCCAGCCTGGGGCAGGAAAGCTCCAGCCAGCCCCCTTCCCCCCCACCGGAGCCAGACACCTCCCTCCTCCCTCCCAGAGCCACTGAGCAGGCTCTCCCAGGCGGGGGCAAAAGGGGGCCTGAAGGAGTATCACTTACTTTGACCAAGAAGAAGGAGACGCCGTATGTCTTGAGTGAGCGGGCGAGCTTCACGTACCGTACCTTGGCTTCAATCTCACTCATGATGCCACAGTTCTTGTGGGCCTTGGGGGAGGGGAGGGAGAGCAGGTGGCTGCATTCTCTTGCTCCCAAATGACCAACCCCTCCCTGCCCCATCGCTCTCCCAGCCCTTCTGCACCATCCTCCTTCTGCACATTCTTTCTCCCCCGTCCCCCATGCCGGCCAGGCCTCCAAGGCCCTTCAAAAGTAGATTGGGGGGGGCAGAAGGGACGTGGCCCACAACGTCTGCTTTCAAGAGCCCCTCTGCTCACCAGGAAAATCTTCCGCTCCCCCTTCTGCTTGATGTACTCCTTTGGCAGAAAATCCTTCAACCTGCACAAGGGGAAAGTGGGTCTCTGTTAGAGACGGGCCTTCCAAAGCCTGACTCCCCTGTTCTGTCCAGCCCTCGAGCCAAATGCCCAGCCAAGGGAACTGCAGGGGCAAACTCTGCCCCCTGCCCAAGGAAAGGACCCAGCGGGGCCTGGGCCCAAGCTACAGACAGGCGTACTCACTCCAGAAACCCAGTCTTGTGCTTCTGCTCATTGTGAGGACCAAACTGGATCTGACACTGGTAACCGGCAAACTCGCAGGCTTTGTCGAAGGAGACAGGGTGGGAGCCATTCAGGATGTCATCTCGGGCCTGAAGACAGAGGAGCAAGATCAGCAGGGACCCTCTGCGCTGCTCCTCCCTGGAAGTGCTGGGCCTCCCTGAGCAGCCTCCTTTGCGTGCAGACGGGCTAAACCGTCCTGTGCCAGCCCCCAAAGTGAAGGGAGAAGCCCTGGCAGAGGGGCAGTGAAAGGCACCTGGACATATAGGAGGTTGAGCTGCACAGGGTCGCGGGAATCCACGTTCTGGTCGGAGTAGAAGAACTTCCGCCGGAGGAGCAGTGTCTCGTTGTCATCAATGCCCTGTTCGCGCAAAGTGCGTCCGTGATCCAGCCAGTTCACTGCACGAGGAGGCAGGGCAGGATGAGAGCCGCCAAGGTCCCCTCCGCCCGCCCCCACAACTCCCTCTGAGCACTTGGCTCGGCTCACATACGCTCGTCATCCGTGTGGAGCTTCTGCTTCAGCCTCTCCATCTTCTTCTCGTCGCGCAGGAGGGTCTTGTCCTTTCTGAGCGTGCCCGTCTGCTCCTCCTTCTTCTCCTCCAGGATCTCCCGCACCAGCGAGTACTCGTCGTAATTGGTGATGCCTGGGGGCACAAAACAGCCTTGCCAGGGACAAAGGTCGCCCTGCCCACGGCCATGGGCACAGCTCCCAGCAGCCCATCTCAGCTTTGCTAACACTGTTGTCCCTCCTGGCCCGAAGGGGGTGGCGGGGGGAAAGGAAGAACCCACAGAACAGAGGCTGTCTCCTCACTCCTCCCCCTCCCATCCGTCAACCCAACCTTCCTCAGTCTGCTCACCGATCCGGGCACAAATGGTCATGAGAATGTCGGTGACTGTCTTGGAGTCATCCACCATGACTGTCTTGACCGTTCCATCCAGCATACGGATCTTCAGGGGCCGTTGCTTCTTCTTGTACTCCATGGTGTCCTGGGAAGCCAGATTTAGGGGTGGGGGCGAATCAAGAAATGCCAGGGTCAGAATTTGGGGGGGGGGAGGAGGGCACGGACTACCAATGGGGTAGGAAAGAGCGAGCACGAAGGAGCCAAGAAGGCAGTCCCTCTTGGACTCCTCCTGCTGTGCCATCAGCCAGGGCTTTCTCCTGGGCTGAACCGGTTGGGGCTATGCTGGACACGCTCTCCTCCTCTTCAAGTAGCCAGCTCCAAGGGGTGTGTGTGTATAGAGGTCAGGTCCTTGGCTCGCCTCTGAGGGATGCTTCAAGGCCCAGCCGTCTCCTCTGACAGCAGCAGCCAAGAGGACCCTCCGTAGGCAGGAGGTACCTGTCTCCCTGCTTCTCTTACAGCCCCAGGGTTAGGGTTACGGTTAGGGTTAGGGTGGCCTCTGGCTCCACATCTCCTCTGGCTCCGATGCTGGCCCAGCCAGAGGGAGCAGCTGACTTGGCTCTGGACTTCGATCAATGCCGTTCCAGAGGAATTTTAGTGGGCATTTCTGGAGGAGTGGCTTTGCTCGGGGCCACGTGTGGCCTGGGGGGGGGGCCCGGGGGGGGGGGGGGGGGGGGGAGTTATGCTAGGCTAAGAACCCTTCATTAACTGCTGTGACTAAAACTGGCATTCAGCCTTACCCTCTACCAATTCGCTCGGCTGATCAGAAAGCCCCCCCGCAGGGAAGCACTCACCCCATTGCGGAGCATGTAGTAGTCCAGAGCCTTCCCGGCCTCCAACCATATCCCCTTCTTGGGGTCTTCATCCGAGAGAAAAAGGCCAAAGTCGTGGGCTGAAGAAAGAACAGCAGGAAGGGGGTTGGACCAGGGCGGGGCGGGGGGGGGCTTGAGGTCAGCCAGCAATACCCCCAAGCCACAGGGACATGAGCAAGGGACAAGGTGGAAGCAAGGACCAGTCTCCCTGGCCCACCCCACTCTCCCTCGGCATCTCCTTCTCCAATGAAAGCCTGCCTGGCCACTTACGCTGCCCCATCTGGGCCTCCGGCACCCGTTCCCGGATGATGCGGCAGGCATCGTACACCATGGTGGAGGGCTCAAACTGCATAGTCTTCACCACATTGCCAATGCTTATCTTGAGCGATAAGGCCACCATGGTGGCGCCTGAGATGTGCCCTCTCCTGCTTCACCTGTTGAGGAAAGGTGGGGTGAGCAGGGAGCCCTCCCCAGGTGCCACGGGAGGGAGACAGGCAGGTGCCCACACAGGTGGCCCAAGCTGACTGGTTCCAAAGCAGCTCAGCCTTCAGCATCCAGCCCAATCCCGCAGCACATCCCAAAAGCATTCTCTGTGTGTGCCAACTCCCCTCCCGCTTTCCCTGGCACAGCTGCTGGAGGGAGGCAGTGGTCAAGACGAGAACAGGAGGCTGCTGCCCCATGACAAGAAACTTCCCTTTTACTACCACCGCTGTGGAGAAGTGTGGAGATCCCATGCCCAGGCAGGCACTGCTTGCGCCAGGGCAGGGCAGCAGGAAGGGGGTGGGCCCAGAAGGAGCCTGTGGGCAAAGATGTGCTGCATCATGCCCACAGGAGGAAGCCCCTCCTGGTGGAGCTGAACTGATAAGGCCGGTGGTCGGAGGAGGCTGATTATGCTCAGATGGCCGGCGAGAGGAAACCGCTGAAGGAAGCCAGAAGGCCCAGCCTGGCACCCGACAGTTGCCTCCCCCGCCCCCCCCCCCCGGGACAGCTGAAGGCTTCTCCAATGCCTCTGGCACAAAGTGAAGATAGTGCCTGAAATGAGGAGGCTGCAGAGGACCCTCCCAGGCACAGCTACCTCATGAGGCGGGGGGCAGGGGAGAGAGTTCTCCCTCTTGGGTTTAAAGTCAAGGATGCGCTTCCCAGAGGAGAAAAGGAGCCCCTCCAACTAGGAAGGCAGCCCATGCCAGAAAACCGAGGTGCCAACACCACACTGTGCTGTATCCCACCGTGCCACCTACACCCTTTCATCACGCCCTGCTGCTTCCCTAGAGCTCAGACAGACCATGGGGCTGGCAGCAGTTTCCAGGGAGGAGTTACCTTCGTGACCTCCGTCCTGAGGGTGGCTAAAGGGGTGTGCGCTGGGCCCACCCTGATATCTCTGATGCACCTGCCTTTTGGACCTCTTGTGCCACTGCCAGAGGCAGACTGGCAGCTGGCGGGGTCCTTTGCAGGGCTTGGAGGAGGCAGGGGCTTCTTCTGCCCTCCCCCCATCCCCCTGCGACTCCTCTGGGTACCTGATTCTGCCTGTCCAGTTGCCCAGTTCTTTGTGGTCTTTGACGGGGGGACTTTGGGTGTGGAGCCTACCTGCTTCAGCTTCTGGACAGGGCGAGACTCTCCTATCTGCGCCCCAGCAGCTGCAGCCCCTTTCCTTTCATCTGACCCCAAGGCCAGGCCCCCTTCTGCTTGGGTGGGTCACGCCTACTCCCCAAAGCCCCTCCCCTCAATGGCACCCACCAATCAGGTGAATTTGGATGCCTACCACCTCTCGCCCCAAAGCATCCAGGAGCAGTGAGGGGGCCTGGGCAGGGATGGGCAGCTCCCAGCCCAAGTCAGAGCCCAGCCACAAGGGCATCTTTTCTGCACCCAAAGTGAGGACCAGCAGCTCAAGCCCAGCCCAGCCCAGCCAGCAGGACAGGCTTTTTCTCATTGCCCAAGGGAGGCCGCATTTGAGGAGTGGGGAGCAGAACCAGGCATCCCAGAATGCTCATAAACTGGAGGTGGTCAAACCCTGCTCCTCCTCCTCCTCAGCCACAAATCCCCCCACCTGTCACTTTGCAGTCACAGGTGGAATTGACTCTCCCTCCCAAAGGGGCTCCAGGAACCCTAGCAGCTCCCACCTGGGAGGAAGGCTGAAGGAGGCTCTGCCCACTGCTGCTGCTTCTGGTTGGTCTCAGTGGGCTTCACTGCCTTTACTGCTGGGCTCCAGGATGCTGTCCCCCAATCCTGATTGACCCAGAAATCAGCAAATTCTCTACCTGCCCCACCCTGGAATTGGGCTGGGGGTGGTAGTAATCTTGTTAACGTTGTAGGCCAACATTGCGAGGGAAAGGCCAAAGCAGGCAGCAAAGGCAATCTCTCAAGGGCGGGGAGAGGCTCTTAGCCCTCCCTTCTTCCTATAGACCCACTGGGCTGTTCTGAGACCCCAGTCAAGAAGCAGCTGGTAATGGGGCAAGTGCCTCTCTGCCTCTGCCCCACAGTCCTCCCTGGCCTCCCCCTAGGAAGCAGGCGCTCGCCCCGTGTCCCGTCCCCCCCATGCCCCCTGCCAGGGAGACATTCCAGGGCTGCATTCTCAGCATGCCCCAAAAATGTCTGCTCCCAGGGAGGCCCCCACCTTCCCCCTGGCTGGCTCAGCCCCAGGCATGCCAGAGGCTCTGTGGTCTGTGGGGTGAGGAAGGAGGGGCAGGCCTCTGCCTAAGCACCCCCCTCCCCCCTCTGAAAGAGGAAGCAAGGCCAGCAACCAATGGGGGACGACGACTTCTGTGCTTTCCCTTCCAGTTCCCAGAAGACATTCTCCAGCTGTTCTTTGGTTAGGCTTCCCCTTTCTCGCAACCCCCAACCCTCCTTCCAACTGCCAACAGGACAAGCAGACCCTTCTCTGAAAGACAGGAGGGGAGCCCCCTCATTCCTCAGCCCTCCTGGGCAACATGGCCCATCTCTTAGAGGTTGGCAAAGTTCAGGATCACAGCCTGTTTTTCGTCTCACGCCTCCTCTCTCTCGTTCGACACTCTTGATGCTGCCATAGTCCTTCACCTCCAGCTCAGGCCCATTTTGTGAGCTCCAGCATCCTAGAAATGACTTCCTAAGGTGGGAGGACACAACCCCCCCCCCCCCCCAAAAACCCAAACCCCTTCCCCCCCCCCCCCCCCCCCCCCCCCCCCCCCCCCCGTACCTGGCAAGGGACTCCATTGCCACCACTCTGCCTGTCCTAGAACTAAGGCAGACAACGCAGGAGGAAATGGAAGGAAGCCCCGCTGCCCCCACAGACGGTCACCTGGCGAAGCAGGAAGGAGGGCAACCAAGGGAGGCAGCTTGCCAGGAGGCTGCAGAGTGGAAAAAGAGCTGACCTAGACTGCCCCCTCCCCCGAAACCTCCCCTGGCCTTGGCAGTGCCCCGAAGACCTCCTGTCCTCCTGCACAGCCAGTGGCTGCACCCGTCTCCGGGTAAAAAGGCTGCTGCCACCTGTTGTGCTCTAAATCGGCTCTAATGCAGCCTGGGAAGTGTCAACTGCATTGGACACTACATGCGTGTGTGTGCGTGCGTGCGTGCAGGCACGCAAGGATGGTGAGCCAATTTCTTAAAACGGAAGTGCAGGAGATCAACCCCTTTAGCAAGCAGCAGAAGCTATCAGATGGGCCTCAACCACTACTTGGGGACTGGAGGACTAGGGGTGGTCTGGCCAAATCCAGAGAATTGTGTTGGCAAACTATCTGCCGAATGGGCTGGGGAAGAGCGCGGAGGAGGCTGACCCCGCCCCCCTTCCCCACCCTGATTTCCCCAAAGAAATGCTGTGCCTGGACAGGTAACAGCCACACTTTCCCACAGGGAATCCTGGTTGGGGGAGAAGGGGCTCATGCCTCTCCTCCTAAACCTACACATCCTATCGGGACCGGGAGGGGTCAAAATGTAAGGATAAGGATAATTTTATTTCTATACCGCCTCTCTCCCGAAGGACTCGGGGCAGTGTATAGCCAGGTAAAAACACAATACAAATATCACAATTTAAATTTAAGTCTAAATTAAGTCTTTACGCACGGTCACTCATGCCCTTGTCACCTCCCGCCTGGACTATTGCAACGCTCTCTACATGGGGCTCCCCTTGAGGAGCACCCGGAGGCTCCAACTGGCGCAGAGTGCGGCCGCGCGGGTGGTAATGGGAGTGACATGGCGTTCCCATGTAACACCTCTCCTGCGCGAGCTGCACTGGCTCCCGGTGGTCTTCCGGGTGCGCTTCAAGGTTTTGGTTACCACCTTTAAAGCGCTCCATGGCTTAGGACCCGGGTACTTGCGGGACCGCCTACTACCACCAATAGCCTCCCACCGGCCGGTACGCTCCCATAGAGAGGGGCTCCTCCGGGTGCCGTCGGCCAAACAATGCCGACTGGCGGCCCCCAGGGGGAGAGCCTTCTCTGTGGGGGCACCTACTATCTGGAACGAGCTCCCCCCAGAGATACGGAGGATCCCGGATCTGCGCACCTTCCGCCGCGCCTTAAAGACCTTACTATTTCACCAGGCCGGCCTGGCCTAATTTTCCCCCTCTTTTATAAAAGATTTTTAAAATTTTAAATATTTTTTAGTATTTATATATTCAATTTTAAATTGGTTTTAAAAGTTTGGGGTTTTAAATTTGTCGGGGCCAAAATTATTTAATTTGATTTTATTCTATTTTTTAAATTTTGTATTGTATGTGTTTTTATTGTTTGGCTGTGCACCGCCCTGAGTCCTTCGGGAGTAGGACGGTATAGAAATCTAATAAATAATAATAATAATAAAATAAATGTAGGCAGCTGCAAACTTTCTGGGTCAGTTTTCAAACCCGATGAAGTCCCACCAGTACCTCATGGTTGCCAGAGAGCCAGACCTTCCTTTGCAAGAGACATATGTTGGAGGGGGGCAGTTGTGGGGGGTGTCTGGGGGACACACAGGCCCAGGCATTCTCAGCTCATTCTCAGAAACAGTGAAGCAGCGTCCGGCAAGCCTTTGCCAAGCCTCTGGTGAGGCCTGATGCAAAGGCAGGCCGTCATTCAAAAGAGCACAAATGGACACGCAGCAGATGCCTGACTGCCCCGAGCCAAGCACCCCCTGAATCATTGCCCTTCTTTCCTCACACTTTTGCTCAGGGTGGGTCCCCCATCCCCTCCGCTTACAGACAGAAGGACAAAAACACAGAAATCGGGAATTGGAATAAAAGAGCTGCCAACTTTCTAGCTTGGATAAGCACCGAGTCCCAAAGGAAGATGGCAGCATCATTCAAAATTAAACTCTGTGTGAATTGGGGCACAGATGTGATGACCCTCTCCCCAGTAGGACCCAGGACCAACCAAAGCCAAGCAATGGCAACACCAGGACGGAACCCCAGCAGAAAAAACTCTCTGGGGGGGTCTCAGGTGGGGGTGGGTGCCTCATGTAGAGCAGAATCACCAGAAGCAGGGGGGGGGGGGGGGGCATGATGGGGTAGAGCACAGATGGACCCAAGGCAACACTAGACCATAGACCGGGAGAGGCAGATCAGCTGAACTGCACAAATGTGTTTCAATTCTAGAACTGACCCTGAAGATTTTTATAAACTCATTAACTACTTTGAAGTTCTTGGTTAAAAAATGCAGCCCGAATCCACCCCCACCCCCCATGCCAGGTGTTTGCTACAGGTTTATCCTTCCATCCTCAGTCCATGAATATCTGGAGAAGCAGAGCCTTAACATCAAATGGTTTGAAAATAATTTGGGGTGCTGAATGCCCCTACAGAAATATGAAACAGCCTAAGAAGAAATAAGGAAGGAGGAAGAGAGGAGCTGGGCCTGGTTGCGTTCCTTCTCTGCGTTTCAGTTTGTGGCACCAAACAAGGAATCTGCCAGGCTCGGCTCTTGGCTGCAACAGGGCAGGTAGAAATGGGGGTCCAGAAAGCAATGGGGGAGCCAAGACTGGAATAGGGATAGGTGGACGACTCCTTGATGCAGGAGCGGCCCCTACCTGAGGGGCCTGTGGGAAGGTGATGGAACTGAACCCCCCTGCTCAAAGACCACCAGACACTTTTAACCTTATGCTTCACCACCCTGGAAAGGCAAAACCGGAAAGTTTCAAAAGATAAAGCCCATTCCAGCTGAAAGGGCCATGCAGCAGGCAAGGGCAAGGTCTCCTCCTCCTCCTCCTCGCTCTCCAGAAAGCCAAAGCAAACCTGAAGCTGGTTGTGCCAGGGCCAAAGGCTTCGGAGAGCCCCAGTGCAAGGGGGAGATCTGGCTGTGCCAGGGGCACCCCAAGGCCAGCTGAGCTATCCAAGTCCCTCGACCCTTTTATGTGATGCTCAAAGGGAGCAGGCAGGGTGGTTGCTCTTTAGGAGAGTTTCCCAAAGTCTCAAGGATCAGCACCACACGGAGGAAGGAAGGAAGGAAGGAAGGAAGGAAGGAAGGAAGGAAGGAAGGAAGGAGCAGCCACCCACCCACCCGCAGGCCCAGGGCCATCTCTCCACAAGAGAAATGCAACAGGAAACAGCTCACCCGCCCAGCTTCCACTGCTCTTCTGCGGCCTGGGCTAGAGTTGACAGGCCTCCAAACACCCAGGCAGGGCTCTCCTCCTTCCCTTCCCCACACGGCACCGCCTGCCCTCCTTCTTGCTAAGGGAGGAGATGAGAGCCTGCCCTGGGCTATGCCGTTCCAAGTCAGTCAGCCCCCTCCCTCCCTGGGCGTGGGGTCCATCACAGCCCCACCCTCTCTGAGCTGGGCCTACTTCCCCTGACTCTGCCCTGCAGCAGCCGCCTGGGACCCAGCCAGCTCCAGCTTCCCAATGGAAGCACATCATCTGCAGCCTTTGGCACATTGGCAGGTATGGAAGGAAGCCCCCGACCCAAACTTCTGGAGGTGCTAAGCGGCCTCGCCTGCTCCCTGACTCCACAGGACAGAAGGGCCAACTCTCCCCTGCAGGACAGTCCCTGGTCAGCTGCCCGCAGCTACACTTCCTGCCCATCCAGCTCATGGCTGCCTCAACAGGCTCCACTGACGTCAGAGCTTCCTCTCTCCTGTTCTCGGCACAAGGGAAGAAGAGCAAGTGTCAAAGGCAGAGGGGGCACAAGAGGTCCC